CCGCAACAAGCCTGCTGTTGACTACGACGACAACGACTGCCAGGACGGGTACTGATGTGTGCCCCATAGCCTCATTGGTGCTGGGGGGTATAGGGAGGAGGAGGGGTTTAATTTATTTGCTATATAGCCTGGTTGACTTCTTCCTGAGACGATACTGTGGATAAAATGGAGGCGGGTTCTCCAGGGCTCGACCTGGCCACACTCAACGGGGCGCAAAGCGGGGGGTGATGCCAGACACGGGGAAGATGCCAAACCGCAGCGAGAAAAGCCATTTCCTACACCAAGCCGGCGAGCAGCCGAGAGCTGTGAGTGCCAGCAGGAGGGTGCTGCCTGCTTGCCACAGGGGCACAGCGGCGGCTCAGGACTCCGGCAGCCGCGCCTGGGCACGCTGGGCAGAGAGGTCCCTGCGCTCACCCCTGGTATTTACCTACCACTGACCTAAAAGTGTCTGCCCAGACTCCAACGGGAGCTTTGCATTAGCTCCACGTCCTGCACATAAGGAGGCAAAGCTACAGCTGGTGGGCACACGTGGTGCGTGGGGTCAGCAGCGTGTGAAGTACCACTTCAGGATGGGATGTATGTAATATTTTGTAAGAAATGTACAGAAAACATTCTATTGTATCCTTTTTGCACTTGTATTTCAAAGCTGAAACGTACCCTGTTGGTTTCTTTAACTGCCATTAAAAACATTCAACTCCACAGTGGTGCAGTTTGAGGTGTTCCTCTTCCTCTCTCCCGGGGGAGTCGGGTGCTGCGATTTGGGGTCGGACTGAAGCGAGCGGGGGGCAAAGGGCAGGCTGTTTGCATGGGGAGCCGCAGCATCCTGGGGTGAGGGGGAAAGCAGAGGTTGAAGGGTGTTCCTACCCCCCCATTTCCAGGCACCCCAAGGGTCATCCCAGCAGCGGGGTGGAAAAGCTGGCTAGTGACCCCAGCAAGCTGGGCCTGGGGCTTTGCTGTATTATGGCCATCGCCTGCTGCAATGGGAGCAAGAGCTGTTCCTGAGGCGCTGGGAAGGAGATGGCCCAGGGCACGGGGGCTCTCCTGGACCGCTGGCTCCGGGTGCCCAGGGGGGCCCCGGGCGCCAGGTCCCCTGCAGCAGCGATGTGGGTGCTCATGGGCTGGCAGATCATGGGTAAAGCCTCTTTTACTCAGCATGCCTTTTTTTTTTTTTTTTTTTCCTCCTACCGGCAAGCAAGTAAACACCACATTGTTTGTTTAAAATCCCTTCCAGGCCCTTCTTACTTGTTCAGGTGTGTGTGACGAGCTGTACAACATGGGTATCAATGCTGATGAGGGAAGCCGCTGTAGTAGCCGGAACTGCGCGTAGCGGCACAGTTTTGCAGGATGAAGTTGTGGGTCTGCAGGGGACAGTCTCCAAGGGCTCGGCGTGAGCGGCTGCATGCCTTTCAGCTGCCTTGGGTCAGCAGTATTTCTGCAAAAATTCAAGAACCGGTGAAGAAATTAAATAATTTTTTACTACTTATAGCAGAACTGCACTTAATTTGTAGGCTCGTTCCACCACTACAAAAGCTGGGAGCTGAACAGCTCCTGGTTTTAGTGGACTTTATGTTTTAATTTCCACCCTGTGTAAGTTTTTTCTAATTCTGTGTAACATCAGCTCTGAAATGTCCAGCTTACCCATGCTGCTGCCCTGGGAACGAGCCTCTTTCCTGACCCTGCTTCCTCCGCCCCACTGATCCTCACTTCACGGTAGATACCTTGGCTATGACTTGCCCCTTATTTTTTGGACCCCTTGCATGAGCTGCCTGAGTAGTTGGGGATACTGTGACGGTGACAATGCCTGTCAGGCTCGTGGGTACCAAAATGCTGGTGCACAGCCCCATTGCTGGGGTGAAAGACAGGAAGCACGGGTTTGGCTGCAGCCCAGAGGTGCAAGAAGGTCTGGGTGACAGCTGTTGCTTTGGTTTAAAATGGTGGTAACGATGTGTTTTCTGCTCCTCTGCGCGGCGGCGCAGGGCTGGGCGCTGCTGTGAACTCTCCCGTGTGGAGCGAGCGCTGCTGCTGCGCCGGCGGCCGGGACGTTCTGGGCA